GTCCTCAGAAGTCCCCAGAAGCATTCCGTCCACGTCGAGAACCGCCCCTCTGAAAAACCGGGCCTCCCTGGGCCTCCCACTCAGGCGAGGGAGCCCCGTGCTGGAAAGGACCTATGACTGCACCGACTCCTTCCAACAAGCACAAAGGAACGCGCGACACGTAGCATCAGACAGGTCAAACAGGTGACCAGCGAAATCCTCGCTTGAACAAGGGCCGCCCCACCTGTGCAACTCCTGTATAGGTTTGCACGCATGGCCATGAGCGCGAGGAATTCTGAAGCGAAAACCCTGGCTCGCAAAGAAGCCGCCCTGCGTCCGTGCCGCCGTTGCATCGATTCGAGCTTCTGCTCTCCAGAGTTACAGACGTCTCCAACGAGCGTCCAATGCTAGCTGCCGGCAAGGAACCGCCCTTCACGCGTGCAGCTGGCGCCTTTGTGCAAACATCCCGCCTCCAAGCTGAACGAAGTCTTGAGCGAAAGCCCCACTGTGAGCAGGAACCGCCCACCATGTCGCTAACTGCTGCAGGCGTTGAAAGCGAACACTTGCGGCGCTCCGGCGGGAGCACCACTCTGGAAAGGAACCGGTACCCGCTGCAAGCTTTGAAGACGAATGCGCGCGGCGCTAAGGCGAGATTCCAGCTGTGCGAAGGAACCGCCCTCCATCCTTGAAGCCCAAAACAATGGGCGCGGCACTACGGCGAGAACACACATTTTGAACATGAGTCTCCCTCCATCCGTAAAACTGCCGCACAGTTGTAAAACGACGCGGCGATAAAGCGAGAGCTCCATTTTGAAAACGACTCCCCCTCCGTCATTGAAACTAATGCAAAAATTTGAAAAGGATGCGCGCAGCACTTACTCGAGAAAAACATGTTGAAAACCACCAACCCTCTATACTTGAAAATGATTGCAATGTTCTGAACCGAGTGCGCCCGGCGCTAAGGTGAGAGCCCAATTTTGAAGTCGACCCCCCCGTCCGTGAATATGTTGCACACTTTGGAGACGACTGTACGCGGCGCTGAGCCGAGAGCCACATTATGAAAACGACTCGCCTTCCATCCTTGAAGCTGTTGCGAGTTCCAAGCTTCAGGATCATACGTGGTGAGGAAGGCTGTACCGAAACGCCCAGCCCGCCCTGCCAAGACGTTTGGGGGTGCGATAGAGAGGAGTCATGCACAAGGCAGAGGGATCAAGAAGGGGGAGTAGGAGGGGTAGGAGTAGGACCCTTCGGACCCATCCCTTCCCATTGCGCTGATACCTTCTCTATTTGCCGAGAGGAGTCCCAGTGGATCTGGATCCCCCAGTTGAACCCATCGTGGGACGCGCAATCAGCAGGAGGAGCTGTGTACATTGGAGGAAGGAGGATGTGGCTGATGAGCTGGAGCATGAGCAGGAGGAAGAGATGTTCAGCAGGATGAGTAGGACGATGAGGAGGAGGACGTGCAGGAGGAATTGAGTTCTATCAGGACTTCTTAAGGGTGCCTACGCTGGAGGCTCGGGCACTCTGGGCCACCCCACAGGGACCTGACGCCCGCCCCTGACGCGGCCATGACGCGAATTCACAAATTCGATACATGATCTCTCTCTCTCTCTCTCGCTCTCCCTCTTTCTCTCTCCCTCTTTCTCCCTTACCTCCTTGACGGTGGGACACCCGCGTGCGGGGCCGCACTTTCCGAGCGAGATCAAACGTGCCGTCGCGCATGGTAGGCAGTGGGGTGTACTGGATGGCGATGAGGAGTACGACGAGAAGGCAGAGGAGGAGGAGGACGATGACTCAGGCTGCCATTCCGACCGACGTGTTGTTGTAAATATCCCGAGTCGGCACGCTCCTGACCGATCTGGTGACAGGTCAGCCGAAACACGGAGGCTCAGCTGAGAAGTGCCTCCAGGAGGGCTGAGCTTGTATTATTGCTGTCGTTGTCCCTCCTCCACATCTCTCGGGGTTGCGACATTCATGATTTGTTCCACTACATCGAGTGATAAGAGCAAGACTCGCTCATTACATTCGGGGCGACAGTCTGGTCGAGCCTGGTATTGCTCTTTAAATCCCAAGTTGCGGCGCTGTGGCAAATTGGCTGCGTCGTGCGCATGTCTACTCTGTATGTTTTTGTCGACTCATTCCCCACTGTTCTTACTCTCCGACAACAAGCGTTTCTCGGAAACGACTTTGGCACTACGACGAATCCTGCACCACGATGACTCCGGCTGCGATTTCGATTAATGCGTTGTTGTGAATTATCCTGTGTCGGCGCGCTCCTGACCATTCTGGTGACAGGTCAGCCGAAACACGGAGACCAAGACTGAGGCGTGCCATGCTGAGGGCTGAGCTTGTACTGCTGCTGTCGGTGTCTCACATTCGATGTGTCCTGACTTTGTTGCGGTGCCCGCATGTTGCTCCACTACACTCGAGGGTGGCACGTCGACGCGCTGAAGACCTCTCCGCGCGAGAGACGCCCACACCGCGCCCCGGAAAGCGGGCGGCACGTCCGAGACACCAGGCGAAGGTGGCACGGGCGGGGAGGAGGAGGGGAAAGAGGAGGGAGCGAGGAGCGAGGAGGAGTCAGGGAGGAGTGAGGATGGACGAGGTTCGGAGGCAACACATTCAGGCACCCTGGGACTCAAGGCTTGCCACGCTCTTCTGCGCAGCAACATCTCGCACGTAGATCGCTACTTTACTCTCCGTGAGTCGCCTGTACCCTTTTCTTTGCACTATCACTGCACGCGTATTTCGACCTCTTCTCATTCGGTATCCTCCTTAGTATGTGATGATGCGATCATCAAGGCACCTATCGCATCGTCATCCTGTACTCCTCAGGTACCTCCTCCTGTTCAGGTGGCGGGCGCTTGCTATGCGCCGCTTTTGGCCTGCTTTTGCTGCCTTTCCTTCTTGCCTGTATTTGCCCGCAGCGCCCGCCACCTGTTTAAATTGCTTGCTACTTCGCCTAACTCGGCGATTATTTGTTGCACGTCACGAACAACGCAACGATCTCCGATCCATGTCTGCGCAAAAAGGAAGGGAGCGAGGAGCTCGGAGGAGCCAGGGAGGGGACATGCCCGTCGCCTAAGTCGGCGATTATTTGTTGCACGTCGCGACTAACGCAACGACCTCCGATCCATGTCTGCGCAACGTCAGAGAGAGGAGGGAGCGAGAAGGAGCGAGCAGGAGTCCGGGAGGGGACGTATGCCTGCCGCCGAGCAGGCTGGCAGTTCCTGGCACCTGCCGCCGGCAGACTCTGCGCAGCGCACGCGGCGCCGACGAGCGGCCGTCGTCCCTTGAGGGCGGGCCCTGCGCCGGCAACAAAGACCGGGGCAGACGAGAGTCGGCGGCGAGCGAGGGGAGGAAATGAGACGGGGAAGGCCTTCTCAGAACAGGGCTGGACCTAAACGTTGTTTTTCGTTTTGTTTTCATTATGTTTGTCGTTTTGCTCTACCCGCTTTCCTGTAGACCTCCCTCCCAAAACGAAAAACAAAGCACAACCGAAATCCAGAAAAAAAAACGGTTTAGGTCCAGCCCTGTCTCAAAAGGCGGTGGGACTTCTCAGAAACCCTCGCGCCTTCTGAGAGGTGTTCTTTGTCTTCGCGGAAGTCTCAGAAAACTTCTCAGAAGACCAGGGGGCTTGCGAGCCTTCTGAGAAGGCCTTCTCCTTCTCACTTCCCGTTGGGGGCGGACAGCAGAGGGGGGATTGGCAAGCCAGCTCACGCAGCTGGCTTTTCCTGGCGCCTCCTAGCGCCGGGAGCGCCCATGCATCGAGGGAAGGTGCCTGTTTCCTGTTGTTTTGTTACTTAAGCGTCTTTGGCTCGTCGAGGGAAGGTGCCTGGCGGTAAGGCCGAAGCCGGCTGCGCGCAGCGGCTTTCGACCCCCCCCCCGAAAGAAGGAGCCCACAGAGAACGCAAGCGCCCAGTCCGCGGGCCAAGCCTCATGTTACGAATGTTCGCGCAACGCGTGGGTTCGAAGCCAGCGTGAGTTCACGTACATCTGCGTTCTTCTTTCGCTCCCGGCCCCCCTCTCCCCCCCCCCCTGAGCATCGTTGAACCGATCCCCATCCCCAGCGGCGTGGCCTGTGGGGCCCCTCTGGCCGATTTACCCCCCTAGAAGGGGATACAGGTCATTCCCTTCGGGTTTCGAAGGGTGTATCCCCAACTGGGAGGGTCATTTGATGGGGGTCTCGAAGGGGATGGGGATGGGGAAGGGGGTCGGTTAAGCGATACTGACCCCCGCCATCTGCCCCAGAAGAGGAGCCCACAGAAGCTGCCCCTCTCGGCTTCGACATTGCTGCCGGAGGAGCAGGCTCTTCACTGCCTCCTCGGAGCTCGCAGCCGCCGGCACACCCAAGAGAGGGGGCGACGCCGAGCCTGCCCGCCACGGCACGCTGCCGGTGAGCATCGAATTCAGACTACGTGCCCCAACCGCAATTCGGCAGATCCTGGAGTAAGGACAGGGACCCAACGGTCGCTCACTTCGAAAAGGCGACCAGAGGCGTTTACAAAAATTGAGCCTTCGAGAGGGGCGATTCATACGTCCCCCCGCCGACCGGGAGGGGCTCGAGGCATAATACACAACGCCGCCTGGTCGGCCAAGGAGCTCGGCGTACAGAAGCTGCCCCAGCTTCACAGGCCGTAGGGGTGCTGGAGCGTCTGCGCGCCCAGTCCCTTCGCCGAGTTTCCTGACCCCATTGCCGATCAGACGACTCGGTGGCAACTCATGGGAGCCTCCCATACCCTCTTGCTGGCTCTTGCGGATCGACGCTAGTCGACGCTACAGCGACGCTAAAGCGACGCTAAACTGGCGCTGTCTCATCCGCTCCCAGACGCTAATCGACGAGAGTAGACGCCCAAGTCAGAAGCAAGAGGGTACACCAGGCTCCCATGATTCGCCACCGAGAGACGACGCGGTGCGAGCTGCCTCGCGCCCCTCC